AGGTTTCGCCATGTTGCCCAGACTGTTCTCAAACTCCTGGGCTCAAAGCAATCCACCCACCTTGGCATCCCAAAGTGTTAGGATTACAGGCGTGGGCCACCGCCCTGGCCCCTGGGCTCTCTATTCTGTTGCATTTATCTTATCTATTCTTTCACCAGTACCTTGATTATTGTAGTTTTTTGTTTATTTTTTTTTAATTATTTATTTATTTTATTTTATTTTATTTTATTTTTTGAGACGGAGTTTCGCTCTTGTCACCTAAACTGGAGAGCAATGGCATGATCTCAGCTCACTGCAACCTCTACCTCCCAGGTTCAAGTGATTCTTCTGCCTCACCCTCCCAAGTAGCTGGGATTACAAGTACCTGCCACCATGCCCAGCTAATTTTTTTCTATTTTTAGTAGAGACAGGGTTTCACCCTGTTGGCCAGGTTGGTTTCAAACTCCTGACCTCAGGTGATCCACCCGCCTTGGCCTCCCAAAGTGCTGGGATTACAGGCGTGAGCCATTGTGCTCAGCCAATTACTGTAGTTTAATAGTAAGTCTTCACATCAGTGTTTTTGTTTGTTTATTTTGTTTTGTTCCTCTCCTTCAAAATTGTGTTGTCTATTCTGGGTCTTTTGACTCTCCATATAAACTTTAAAATCAGTTTTTTGATATCCACAAAATAACTCCCTTGGCTCTTAATTGGGGTCGTGTTGATTTATAGATCAAGTTAGGAAGAACTGACATCTTGACAATATTGAGCCTTCTTATTCATAAACGTGAAATATCTCTCCACCTATTTAGTTCTTTGATTTCTTTCATCAGAGTTTTACAGTTTTCTTCATATAGAACTTCTACATAATGTTAGATTTATAGCCAAGTGTTTCATTTTGGGGGATACTTCTACAAATAGTATTGTGGTTTTAATTTAAAATTCTAATTGTTCATTGCTGATATACAAGAAAGTGATTGACTTTTGTATATTAACCTTGTATCCTACAATCTTGTTATAATTACTTATTAGTTCCAGGAGATTTTTTTAATTCTCTCAGATTTCCTACATAGATAATCATGTCATCTCAAAGACAGTTTTATTTCTTCTTTCCCAATGTGAATACCTTTTATTTCCTTTTCATATTTTATTGCATTAGCTAGAACTTCTAGTATGATGTTGAAAAAGAGTGTTAAGAGGGGACATCCTTGCCTTGTCGCTGATCTTAGCATTAAAATTTAAGTTTCTCACCATTAAGTGTGATGTTAACCCTAGTTATTTTTTGTAGATGTTCTTTATGAAGTTGAAGATGTTCCCCCTTTTTCCTAGTTTGCTGAGGGCTTTGTCATGAATGGATGTTAGATTTTTTAAAAATGCTTTTTGTGTATGTGTTGACATGATCATATGAAATATTTTCTTCAGCTTGTTGATGTGATGGATTACATTAATTGAGGTTTGAATGTTGAATCAGCCTTGCTACCTAGAATAAATCCCACTTGCTTATACTATATAATTTTTTCATACATTGTTGAATTTGATTTGCTAATATTTTTGTTGAGGATTTTTGCATCTATGTTCATAAGAGATGTTCTTTAGTTTTCTTTTCTTATAATATCTCTCTGGTTTTGATACTGTGTTAATGCTGGTCTCACAGAATGAATTAGGATGTATTCTAATTCTGTCTTCTGGAAGAAATGATACAGAATTGGTATAATTTGTTTCTTAAATGTTTAGTAGAATTCACCAGTAGAACCATCTGGGCCCAGTGCTTTCTGTTTTGGAGGGTTATTCATTATTGGTTCCATTTCTTTACTAGAGTCTTATTCATATTGTTTGTTTATTCTTGTGTTAGTTTTGTCAGTTGGCAATTGTGTCTTTGAAGGAATTGGTCCATATCATCCAGGTTTACAAATTTGCAGGCATAGATTTGTTTGTAATATTCTTTTATTATCCATTGAATGCCCGTCAGATAGGTAGTGATGCTCCCTCTTTCATGTCTAGTATTAGTCATTTGCATCTTCCCTCTTTTTTCTTAGTTAGCTTGGCTATAGGCTTACTGATTTTATCTGTCTTTTCAAAGAACCAGCTTTTGGTTTTGTTGGTTTTCTCCACTGATTTCCTGTTTTCAACTTCATTAATTTCTGCTATAATTTTTATTTTTTTCTACTTCCTTTGGATTTAACTTGCTCTTTGTCCATTTTCTAAGGTAGAAGCATAGGAGATTGATTTTTACATCTTTCTTCTTTTCTAATATATGCATTCAATGCTATAAATTTTCCTCTAGGCACTGCTTTTACTGTTTTCCACAATTCTTTACCATTTTTGTTTGAGTTTGTATTTCGTTCAAAATAATTTGTAATTTCTCAAGATTTCTTTCTTTTTTTTGAGACAAGGTCTCTCTCTGTTGCCCAGGCTGGAGTGTAGTGGCACAATCATGGCTTACTGCAGCCTCGACTTCCTGGGCTCAAGTGATCCTCCTGCCTCAGCCTCTGGATATTTCTTCTTTGACCCATGTGTTATTTAGATTCTATTAGACTTTCTATGTAGATCATAATATCTGCAAATAATGAGTTTTACCTTTTTTGTTCTAATCCATACACCTATTTGTATGTATTAATTTGAAAATAGTGTGGTGGGATAAAAAAATTAAAACTCAATATGTATTAGATAATTTAAAACTTATTGAGTGCAAAAAGCAAATGGCACCTGAATTGTTTAAAAAAATGTAGCATCAGCAAAATCAATGTCTGCACAAAACTGGTTTTTACAGACACAAATACTAAAATATCCACATTGATATCTATAAACCCATTTTCTTGGGGTTTCTTTCTTGACTACTGTGGTTTCTCTCTTGAGTGATAGAAGACCATTCTGAATCCTGAGACTTATAAACAACTTCTTATTTGTAGCCCCAACAAAGGGATTTATCTGTTCCTGGTCAAGCTCTGGACCCTGCAGCCACCACAAACCACTTGTATCGGAATCACTTTGTGTGCCGGCTAAAAATGGCAGATTCCTGGCCTCCCCCAGGACATGATGAATAAGAATCTATGCTTAGGCTTTGATAAAGAGAAAGAGAAAGAAAAGAGAGAAAGAAAGAAAGAGGGGAGAGAGAGAGAGAACGAATATCTCTGCTGGTATTACCTGTACATTCATAATTTTAACAAGATCCCCCAGTGGGCTGGGTGTGGTGGCTCACACCTATAATTCCAGCACTTTGGGAGGCTGATGCGGGCAGATCATTTGAGGACAGGAGTTCAAGACCAGCCTGGCCAACATAGTGAAACCCTGTCTGTACTAAAAATACAAAACAAAATAGCCACGTGTGGTGGTGTGTGCTTGTAGTTTCAGCTACTCTGGAGGCTAAGGCACAAGAATCGCTTGAACCTGGGAGGCAGAGGTTGAAGTGAGGTGAGATTGCTCCACTATACTCCAGCCTCTAGCTTGGGAAACAGAGCAAGACTCTATCTCAAAAAAAAAAAAAAAAAATCCCCTTATGCTTACAACCCTGAAAATCATTATGGCAGGAGGAGGGGACAGAGAATCTGACTTCCTGAAAAAGGGAGTATCATTAACAAAAATCCAGCCCTGATTTCCTGGGCTAAGGAGACTAGAAGCCTGGAAGAAAAAAATGACTTCAATTCTATGTTCTTTCTTACAACTGCCTTGGCATTCTCTATGGTACATATATACATGTAAGGAGAACTCTAAAATGACTGGCCCATAATTTGTTTGCCTACCGAGATCAAGCCATTGTACTGGTTTGAGGACAGTTAAAAAAAGTCAGTCAGTGCTATTTCTTTCAGTAGACAGAAGAGCTATTCTCTCATGGACATCATTACCAAAAATTAAGCCTTGGAATTTATCAGGGACTCCTGCCACAATAAGAGAGCTTGGAGAATCAGGAGAGAGATGTGAAGGCACCAAGTCACTGGCTGTGATTCTACAGAAGAAACATAATGACTTCAGAGCAAAGCAAAACTCCAGGCTGAACACTGGGTCAGTGGTTTCATGTTTCCATTGAAGTACTGTTAGTCTAAAAATCTCACAAGGTGGAAAGAAAATGATTTATCAGATAATAAACATTATTTCAAAACTCACATAGAATTCTAGTAATTTCTAAAAATGATAGTATTATAAATATTAGAACTGTCCCCAAAATAGTCACTTAGATATTTAGATTTTTTTTATTTTTTAAAGCCTCAGGTACTTCAGAAACAACTTATACCTGTTATAAAACCTCCCATTTCAACACCTGGAGTCATTATTATGACTGTCATTATGATTAAATAATAAAATCTCAGTAAAACAAAGTTAGAAATTTAAAAATCAGTGTTTTTTTAAAAAAGTTTGCCTTGAGATCTTTACTGCATATAATTGAATTCACTTCTACTTGAATAAACAGTAAACACAATAAATATTCATGTGTTGAAAATCCATGCAGTTCTCAATTAGCAGTCTATAAGGCAGTCTATAAGGAGTAGAGACTATTTCTATATCTTTTTACAGCACACATTTCTCTTATTTTAAAATTTTAAGCATAATTGTTTTCACGTATATGTATGTGTATACATATTTGAGACAGAGTCTCACTCTGTCACCCAGGCTGGAGTGCAGTGGCATGATCACAGCTCACTGCAGTCGACTTCCTGGGCTCAAGCAATCCTCCTGCCTTAGCCTCCCAAGTAGCTGGGACTACAGGCATGCACCACCATGCCAGCTAGTTTTTTCTATTTTTTGTAGAGATGAGTCTCACTATGTTGCCTAGGCTGGTCTTGAACTCCTGGGCTCTAGCAATCCTCCTGCCTTGGCCTCTCAAAGTGCAGGGATTACAGGCATGAGCCACTGTGCCCAGCCCTGAAATATCTGTAATGTGAGTTATAGAACCTTGCCCCATGAAACCACAGCCTCTCACCCCAAAACACTTTGCTGTGAGACATAATGTACCTATGAAAGGTATAGTACATCACTAGTTTTAACAGGCTGCTCAAGTACTAATAAAATAATCACTACTTGATCAAAAATGCATTTGGTATATGCTTTAATTTCATGCATGTATAAGATACTCTTTTTACTTTCTACTTTAACACTGAAGGAGGATAGAAAACTTGTAAATGAGTATTTAAAAACTTGATCCTCTTAAGAACTAAAAGCAGAATCAAATAACAGTTACCTTTCATAACCAAATGCAGTCCTATGCTGGATAACGATGTTTTGGTCAACGATGTACCACATGTACAATGGTAGTCCCAGAATATTATAAAACCATATTTTTACTGTCCCTTTTCTATGTGCAGATACTTACCATTGTGTTAGAATTGCCTAATGTATTCAATACAGTAACATGTTGTACAGATTTGTACCCTAGGACTAACAGGCTATACCAAATAGCCTAGGTGTGTAGTAAGCTATACCATCTAGGTTTATGGAAGTACCTGCTATGATGTTTAATGACAAAATCACCTAACAACACATTTCTCAGACTGTATCTCTGTCCTAAGTGACACATGGCTGTATCACATTGTTAGCTGTCACACTCTCATTCTGGTGCACTCTTATTCTTCCTTTTAAGAGAAGATTTTAAAATGCAATGATTACTGTATATATGGTAATGACCCCCAGTCTCTCAAGGATGGATGCCTGAGAGTGGTCCAAGCTAGGGTTACTGAGTTGTCCGAAGTCACAGTCAGACCAGGGATTGTTTTCCACTGATTATACAGTCCACACAATCAGAATAGCGGGAAGCAAGAGTTTCAGAGCAAAAGAGAGGCACAGAGAATACATTCTAAAGCCATGGCAAAATAAACAAGAAATAATAATAATCCAATAGCTTTTCTCATTGAAGTTATTTTTAAAAACAAGCCCAGCATAAAACTGCAAAGACATTAAATATTGCTCTTTAAAAATATAAACAATTATTGGTGAATTATAGATCTCAATTAGCTCAAAATAACAGTCTTCAAACATACTACGTCTGATCTCAGAATATCCATATAGTCTTCCAACTCTGCTACACATTATATTTTCCTCTAAAGTACAGATAAACCTGATAGCTACTTTTTACAACAGCAGAATAAAGATACTGGAGGGTCATCTTCTAATCTGTATTTTCCGGAGTTGGGTAGATCTTTGCACTCTAATATAAATGTACGAAGTTCAGTCTCTGGGAAACCATCTTGTTGGTAATGCTAAACAGAAGAATGTTAAAAGCTTTCATTAATAAGCCCCTTGAAAATAGCTTCATTCCAAATTCAAAATGGATCATTTGGCAAGGGAGGGGGTTTTCTACAGAGAGAGTATAGTTACTTCCGAGTACCTGCAAGGAAATGTAGCCTCTAGAGTCACTCAGGTTTGGCGGAGGTAAAGTGGGCCTGGGATTCTGCAGCTGCCTACCTGAGTTCTCTTTCTGGGTCCACTGAAACCCAAATGGGCACACTGAGTCTAAGTCTTAGTTGTCCTTCCAGGGAGAATTGAGTCAGCCCCATCCCAAGTCGGAGAACCTCTGTCACTACTCTGCCCTGTAGGCCTGTGACTTCTAGACCAGTGTGATGCAGGCATTTTTGAAGGAATATGGTTCAGGCCCAGTGGATCTAAATTAACAAGGTTTTCTAGCAGGCTAAGAGATGGAAATCCCTGGCCTTGCCCAGAAGACCTCAGCACAGTCTTGGACTCTCCTGAGCTGGCCCAGGTGTCTGGACAAAGGTCTGAATGCTGTAAGGGAACTTTCCAATCTGCACACCCTTTTGGAGTCAGTCTTCCAGGCAGACAAGTTTGTTTAAGGGCCTCATATTTATATCAGTTTGGGACCTAAAATTTCTAGGACATGCCATGATTAGAAAGGATCAAAAGTAACTTAGCTTGCCCATTTGGCAAGGGCCCTGAGCCCACGGAGAGAGGTTAGCATCTAAAATACGAGTTTCAGGCTTATGTCATCAAAGGTGAAAACTCATGTTACCCTTAGAGCTCTCAGATGTCACCCTCAAATAACACATAGTTCTCTGCATGCAGAGTTGGAGGCAGTGAACTTTTAGAGCACCATTTGGAAGGATCTGAAGTTACAACTACATTCTTTCCCAGTTGCCTTGGTGATCCAAAGGACACATCTGCTGAGCAGATGAGAGAGCAAGGAGGACATTTGGTCCCTGAAATCTTGTTCAGTAAGGATGAAGTCACAGCCCTGGCTTCATGAGCAAAGTATTCATCATTATCAGCTCCAAACCAAGGCGTTCTCTTTATCCCTAGGGCCAATCACATGGCTTCATGTTTCTTTACCCCTCTCATACCCAGAAAGAAAAGTCCCCAAGTGGAAGTATCTATGCCACAAACACACCTAACAATATGAGGTTATTGGAAATGGAAACATATGTGGATAATTATTCTGCCTTTCCGTATTTCAGTGGGCTCAAACTGATTTTTAAAAGATCTTATATGAATGACAATAGTTTTTCAGTTCAGGTATCTGACTGTATAAAGCTACATGCTAGTACTGGACCCATTAATCCTTTTGCTATTCTGGAGGCTGGGCCCTGGGCTTGTGCCCTGCAGGGCCTTCCAAAGAGCAATGGGCATAGTTACAGTACACTCCAAACAAAGGGGTCAATTTTTCGTTATGAAAATTGGATTTTTTGTGTTCCCCACAATATTTTGGCTTTCTGAAATGCCATATGTTTTATTCACTCAATATTCACTAACCCTTTTCATTCTTTATTTAGAAAATTTTTCACTCTTTACCCCCCCAGACTTCTAATGACCCTTATAATTCTAATAAAAGGTTAGACAGCTTGTGTGAGAAAGCATAACTACTTAGAGACTAAGACTTTCAACATTCAATTTTCCCTCTATTTCTGTTTATCAGTCTCTAAAAATAAGGTCCTTTTTTGCTATCCTGAAGAAAGTAACATTCCATCAACTTTTCTTCTGCCATTAGGTACTGAATTTTACTGCTACTCTACAAGTTATAGGACAATGCTACTAAAGGCTCTTGATAAACCTACCTTAATTGTTTCATATGTATCAGTGATCAGTGCAATGAAAAGACTTAAAATCATATATATGAAGAGGCTGATGAATGAGTAGAGGTAAATTCTACTAAACAGCCAGACCAAGTAACTTTTTTGCTGCATTTTTGCAAACGTGGCAAACATATCGTCTCCATTTATCAGAGAGAAAAGGCACTCAGAGACCATGTTCAGAGAACGAAACTGGAAAAAGAAAAGAGAAAAGTTCACTTTATTCCATGTTCCTTCCCATTGGAGACCTTTGTTCATGACATCATATTAAAGATAATGGGACCAGATAACCCAAGTTACCATTTTCAAACAAATAACCTGAGGTAACCACACACATTTGCTTTGTGATGCATATAACATATATAAGCCTACTATTTTTTTCCTGGGACAAGCAGCTTTCTCTTGGAGTAGCCTGAATCAAATGCAGGAGCTGGTCTGCACCCTCAGTGCTTTTCTGAATCAAGCCTTGCATCTGCCCTTTACCTTAAAGAGACCTTGAAATGCCTGTGCAGAGATACCCAGGTCCCAACCGTGCATGCTCATACATTTCATTTTAAAGTTTATTTCATTTAAGGGCATAATATTCCAAACTATAGTTGTAGTAACAAAATTTTCAAATATTTCTGCAAGTTTCCCCCTATGCTACTTTTTAAATAAAGTCACATTTTGAGAAGGCTTATCTGAATAGACTGCTCTTGGATATATCGATGAATCAAATTGACTAAACTTGACTTCACTGGTGGTAAACGGAACTTAATTACCTGATATACTGCAAGAAGGAATTTGACACAGTTGAGCACATCAAATATTCTCTCAAGCCAGTCACACCCTATCACTTTATAAATATGGCACTAGATATATTACCTTCAACATTTTAAGCTGAATCACAAAATAAAAGGAGTTCATTGAAAAAGGATAACAAGCCACTGGCACTATGCTAACGGCTTAATAGTAATAGGAAAAAAAGTTGTTTATCAGTACCTTGTCATGGTAAGGCCCCAGCACGATCCATCCACAGAAGCAGTAGCCTAAGTAAATCATAGCTGCACAGCAGCAGAACCTGATGACATTGGGCAGCGCTGCCTGAAGGGTCAAAATGAGGAGCTGGGAAAGTAAGAGAGGCCATTAGAATCGCTTTGTCCTTTAGCCAAAGCAGTGCAATAACTTTGAGAGAAATACCAATAGCATGGAGATCCGTGGAATTCCTTACATTGTACTTTGCAAAGAAACCAAGGTATCGGATGACTCCAAGCCACACAAGCATGGTAGAAGTCCCAAGAAGTATGCTACAGACATCATAACTAGTTAGACTCTAAGACAAAGTGGAAAAATGTAATCAGATTATAAAGCAGAAATTCATTTGGCAATAAATATTGAGGTAACTATGAGTCAGGCACTGTTCTAGCTGCTAAAGCAGTGAACAAACAAAATTCTCTGCTGTCATAAAGCTTACATTCTAGTGGAGGGAAGAGAGAGACAATAGAAATAAGTTAATAGAAATTTTGGGGACATTTGCTGCTGATAATTGCTGAAGAGAAAATTCAGAGGAGGGGATGAGGAATGGGTATGGGTTTGTCATTTTAAATACAGTGACCAGAGAAGGTCTCACTAAAAAGGAGGCATTTGAGCAAAGATCTGAAGGGAGGGAGGGAGCAAATCAGGGAAAAATCTAGGGGAGAAGACTTCCAGGCACAGGGACTGGCAAGTGCAAAGGCCCTGAGACAGGAGGGTGCTTGGCAAGATAGTGCATCTGGCTGGAGTGAGCAATAGAAAAGGTATACAGTTATAGAGATAAGGTGGCACTCACCAAGTTTGTCTTTTCCTCTAACTCAACTGGGGAGATTTGAGAACCACAAACAGAGGTGACATGATCAGATGTTGGCTGCTGTGGTTGAGAGCAGGTTGTTGGAGGAGTGAGGAAGCTATTGCAATAATATAAATGAGAGATGGTAGCTTCGACCAGGCTGGTAATAGTGGAATTGATGAGGTGATTTTTTTTTTCTGAAACAGGGGTCTCACTGTGTCACCCAAGCTGGAGTGCAGTGTCACAACCACGGCTCAATGCAGCCTTGACTTCCCAGGCTCAAGAAAGCCTCCCACCTCAGCCTCCCAAGTAGCTTGGATTACAGACACATGCCACCTTGACAGCTAATGTTTTTTATTTTTCATAGAGATGGGGTCTCACTGTGTTTCCCAGGCTGGTCTGGAACTCCTGGGCTCAAGCCATTCTCCCGCCTCAGCCTCTCAAAAATGCTGGAATTATATGAGCCACAGTGCCTGGCCAATGAAGGTAGAACAATAGGATTTCCTCTTGGATTAGATATGGCAAAGAGGAGATTAGTGAAAGAGAGGAGTCTGTGATGAATCCATGATTTTTGGCTTGAGTAACTGATGAGAGTTACCATTAACTGAAATTAGAAAGGCTATGGGAGAAGCAGGTTTTGACTGCAGAGGTGGGGGCTTTAGATGTTCTGTTTTAGGTATGTTAAATTTGAAAGGAAAAGCATACATCCAAGTGGAGATATAGACTAGATGGTGGATATGCAAATTTGGAGTTCAGGGAAGAATTCTAAGTGGGGGTATAGATTTGGGAATCATTGGCATATAGATACTAAGCTATGGAACATGATGAGATTACCAAGACAGTGGCAGAAAGAGAAGATGTCCAAGCACTATGCCTTGAAGCATTATCACCTTAATAGGTTGGTGAGATGAGAGGGAACCAGCCAAGGCGAGTCAGAAGACCAGCCAGTGACTCAGGAGGAAAAACAGGTGATAGTCCAGTGAAAGCATGTGCTCGGCAGTGTTCAAAGCTGCTGCTAGGTCAGGATGAGGGTACATAGTTGGTTATTGGACTTATCAGCATGAGAGGATGCTGAAAAGAACACTTTCCTTGGAGTGGCAGGGCAGCCTGATTGGAACAGACATAGAAAGAATGAGATTTTGGGGGGCTGTGAGGTGGGAGAATTGCTTGAGCCCAGGAGTTTGAGGCTGCAGTGAGCTATAATCGCGCCGCTGCACTCCAGCCTGTGCAACAGAGTGAAACCCTATCTCTTTAAAAAAACGGGTGGGGGAGGGGAGGAGCAGAATCAGAAACAAGATTAACTACTTTTTAAAGATATTTTGCTAAATAAATGAGTGTAGTAAGTTAGGGGGAGGAATTAGGGTTGGGATATTATCTCTTAAGAAAAGGGGCAAAAACATGCTAATGGGAATGACCTTGTAGAGAGAGGGAAACTGATGATCCCCAAGAGAAGGAAAACTAGCTGGAGCTGTGCCCGTGAATAAACAAGTGGTGATGGCCTCTAGTAGGCAGGTGGGAGGGGCTGGCCCTGAATAGTGGCCTAAATAATATACCCACAGAAAAAAAGCATAGGATATGGGCACTGATGGCAGGAGGCAGATAAATTAGGTGGGGGTTTGTGGAAATTCTGTGTTTTTTTCTATTATTTTTGTGAAATAGGAGGTAAGGTCATCAGCTTAGAATGAGGATAGAACAAGGGTATTCGAGGTTTCAGAAGAGAAGAAAACATGATATGATCATCTGTGAGGCAGAGACAGTGAATAGTCTAGAAAAATATAGAAAGATATTTTGTTGGACACCATTTAGGGTTCACTGAAATTAATGATAATTTAGGTTGGTAAAAAATAAAGATTTGCTGCACATCTCTCCCCTTACTCCTCTTTTTTGTTGTTTTGGTTTTTTCTTTATTTGTCCCTAAAGTTAAACATCTATTCCAATAATGCATACTATAGCCACATATAGTGGCAGCTGCTAAGTGTCGACCTAAACCCATTCTCCCCTTCTTAGGCACATGCCTGGGCTGTGTTCCCTGGCTCCCTCTGCAGTTAGAATTGACTAAATTCTATCCAGTGGGTTATGTACAGAGATAAAGTTGGCCACTCTTGAGCCAAGCCATCGCTCTATGGGAGAGGTTCCACCATACCGTGTTTTTGCTTCCCATAAGCTGCAACCTGTTTGAGGCAACACAGCAGTAATCATGCAGTCAGGGCAAGTCCTTAAGGGGTGGCAGAGAAACAAAATGGGAGGAGCGTGGGCGCCTGAATGACTGTGAGACGTTGAGTTACTCACCAATCTGTAAAACCCATCCTGACTATTACATAAGAGAGAAATAAGCTCCTATCTTCTCTGAGCCATTGCATTTGGGGTCTCTGCCCGGGTTTATAACCAACTCCCCAGGTGACTCAATCAGTTGCATCAAGATTAGGGAAACATAAGTTTGAGCAAGATTAGTTTGAACACTATTAGTTTTTTAATTTGACTTTTATTTTGTGGGACAGTTGATTTTTAGGCTAGGTTAGTCTTAAAATGGATAAGCTTGTAGCACATCAATGGGAAAGTAAGAAAATGGGAGCATTCTCACCTTGAATGGACGGAGGAAACAAACGCAAGCATGCACACCATAGTGCCTTGACCTCACTTTCCCCTACAGCCCCACTCATTTTTGTTAAAGATTCGAGCATTTCTTGTAAGATTAAAAAAAAAAAAAAAAAACTCTTACCTTAGTTACTTTGGTTGTGTATGAATTTTGGTGTGTGTAAGAATTCACAGGCCCCACCGAAGAGTCTGAACTCAGTAGGTCTAACATGGTACATTTTTACCAGGCACCCAATGATTCTGATGCAATGGTTTGTGGATCACACTTTGAAAAACTCTGCCTAAGAGACCTCCTGACTAGATTTAAGAAAATTACCATTACCAATTTCAAGTCTACTTGATACACAGTTTGGAAAAAACAATTCATTCTGAAAATTCTCACATTCTGGAAAAATATATTACCATTAATGCAAATCTGACACTAACAATAGCATGATTAGGAAAAAAAATTACCTTAGCTTGGATTTCCATTTTTAGAATTGATCCAATGATTGTTAATATGTCACTAATAATAATCATAATGTACCATCCATTGACAAATTCCATTTGATCAGAAACAGAAACTTCCTTCTTATAATGGAGGAGGAAAAAATTGACAAACTCCTTTAGGGAAAAGAGAGGAGGCACAGTGAATGTCTCTGTCAGTGAAAATGTCAGTAGCATTCCTAGAAAGCAACATTCCCTACCTGCTGAAGCTGAAGTCCTCTAATCACAGATCTAATGCAGAGGATTAACGAAACCAAGCAAGTCAGAATAACAAAGGCATCAAAGATCATCATGTAATGAGTGTTCTTCTGCACTGAAAGCAAAGAGGATTACATAATGCTTATGTGGTGGGACATTAATATGGTGACATCTTCTTTTTAGAATCATTTAAATAATTCAAGCATTCTTTCCGGTAAGACAACAAAGAAGCCCTGATAAATGTTCTTCCAATTAGTATTTAAAGAAGGGTAAAAGTCCTTCTTTTAAAAAATTACCACAACTGGGGCCGGGCGCGGTGGCTCATGCCTGTAATCCTAGCACTTTGGGAGGCCGAGGTAGGAGGATCACAAGGTCAGGAGATCAAGACCATCCTGGCTAACACAGTGAAACCCCGTCTCTGCTAACAATACAAAAAAATTAGTCGGGCGTGGTGGCGGGTGCCTGTAGTCCCAGCTACTTGAGAGGCTGAGGCAGGAGAATGGCGTGAACCCGGGAGGCAGAGCTTGCAATGAGCCAAGAACGTGCCACTGCACTCCAGTCTGGGCGACAGAGTAAGACTCTGTCTCAAAAAAAAAAAAAAAAAACACCACACAATTAAAGATCATTCCAAGATCTTTAATTATAAGCCTGTGGTCTTTTGTTCTTAATACAATTACTTCCCTGCATATTTTTTTTTTTTCCTGAGATCGGGTTTCACTCTGTTGCCCAGGCTGGAATGCAGTAGCACAATCAAGCTCACTGCAGCCTCAGCCTCCCAGGTGAGGGCAATCCTCCCACCTCAGCCTCCCTCATAGCTGGAACTATAGGTATGTGCCACCATACTGGGCTAATTTTTAAGTTTTTTTGTAGAGACAAGGTTTCACTTTGTTGCCATGGCTGGTCATGAACTCCTGGTCTCAAGTGATCCTCTTACCTCAGCCACCCAAGTGCTGAGATTACAGACATGAGCCACCATGCCCAGGCGCACCTCCCTGCATATTCTATTAAAATATACTTATCTAGGTATAAAACATTTATTATGCATTCACTATGTGCCAGACATTTTTCTAGATGTTAGGATACGGTGGAACAAGACAGACAAGGTCCTTGATCTTCTGGAACTTCTATTCTACTACAAAGAAGTAAACAAACACATAACTAAATACTTTCAAATAGGAGTAAGTAATAGAAAGAAGATAAATCACAATAGCTTACATGTATTGAGCACATTTCTTGCCAAGCATAGCTCTAAACACTTTATATGTGTTAACCTGTTTGATCTTCACAGCAACTCCAATGAGATAAGCATGATTATCCCCACTTTGCAGGTGAGAAACGTGAAGCACAGAGAGGTCACATGATTTCCCCACAGTTGCAGGGCTAGTCAGTGGAAGAGTTGGGGGAAAATCTGTGCAGTTTGTTTCCAGTGTCCATCACTCTATGTCAGTGGTTCTTAGCATTTTTTGGGAGCTTGTTAGAGATGCACATTCTCAGGTCGTACTCCAGACCCACTGAATCAGAAACTGGGTTTCTGCAAGCCCTCCAGGTGATGCTAAAGTTTGAGAATTACTGCTCTATATGAGGGAGGTTAGTGTGGGGCAATGTGGAAGCAGAGAGGTTGATTTATATTGCGTAGTAAAGGAAGGCCTCACTGAGGGAGCAGGGGGTTTTAGCTGAAACCTGAGTGGTAAGAAAGAGCCACCCTTATAGAGATTTTGGAGAATCGAAAGTGTGAAGTCCTGGCCAGCATGCGTGGAGCCAATGGAGAGAGGTGGGTAGAGGTGTCAGCCATTGTACACACTCTGCCACAGAGCTTGTCTCTATTTAACAAGTTAGACTGCTCTCTGCTGACAATAAAAGAAAGTACTTAAGACTAGTTCTGTGTTGAAGCATCCCATTAATATCTGCCAAGGAGCATAATTACTACATAAATGTCTAAATTGATTTTAGAGAAACTTAAAAATTAAGAAACAAACATTTGAGAGAATGCCTAGGTACCAGATACTTGTGTATGCTCTCATTTTCCTTATTCTGGTGTTTGTGGAGAAGCATTACGAAGTATACAGATGACAAAACAGGCTTGTGTTTCAAATGTGACTCAAGAGCCTCATATATTTGAAGTCACCTATTAGTGAAAAAAATACTATGATGGCAACATTTCATTTTATGTACTCTATCTCATTATTACGTCTGAACTTGGCAAATCAATTAGTAAGAAACTTTAGAACTGTGATTATCCAAGTATAGCCTGAATAAGGCCCATTTATACATTTCTAGACCCCAGACCTACTGGCTTGCATACAGCTGGGGAAACTGCATCATAGCAGGTACCCAGGATGATTCTTCTGCTGATTAGAATCTGAGAACTCCTCATCCTAGTGACCATTAAGTCCAGTACAATGTACCATTATGTTACTTATGAGGGACTAGAAAATTAGATAAATTCTTTTCAGGCAATTTCTCCAGTTCAGCTCCAAAATTCTTGACAGTATTTGGTCTATACCTGAATTCTTGTCCATATTTCTAAGAATAGATCCTTTCCTCTTCTAGTATACTTTTTTTTTTTTTTTTTTTTTTGAGACAGAGTCTTGCTCTGTCGCCCAGGCTGGAGTGCAGTGGCCGGATCTCAGCTCACTGCAAGCTCCGCCTCCCGGGTTCAGGCCATTCTCCTGCCTCAGCCCCCCCGAGTAGCTGGGACTACAGGCGCCAGCCACCTCGCCCGGCTACTTTTTTTGTATTTTTTTTTTTAGTAGAGACGGGGTTTCACCATGTTAGCCAGGATGGTCTTGATCTGCCGACCTCGTGATCCGCCCGTCTCAGCCTCCCAAAGTGCTGGGATTACAGGCTTGAGCCACCGCGCCTGGCCTAGTATACTTTTAAATGGACTGAAGACAATCGTAATATGTGGGATGCTTCAGGGTCACATCCTACCTGACTTGCCCCTGGCTTCTGAGCCTTAGTTTCTTCATCTGTAAAAATAAGGATTCTGCCAATCTTAAGGGCATTTTAAAATATTAAAATGAAGAAAATTAAGGTGTAAGTAGGTATACAGCATGCACTCAGTAAGTGTTGGTCTGGGAAGGTGTATGTAGGGTTTTGGTGGCATGGGACTGTGAGTACATTCTTGGTCAGGAGTGGGCAAGTGAGGGCACAAGGAGAGGAAGGCCATTTCAGTTATTAATGACTCACATATTGCCTGAAACATCCGTAGAGGTTTAGGGACTTGAAAATGGTCTAATCTTCTATTTGCTGTTCTACATATCCAGAGGATGGTGTTTTAATAACCATTTTCCATTATTTAATAACCATTCTGAAAACTAGTAATGCTCATCACTTACTTGATCCAGATACATGCCAGTCTTTACATTCTCTGATGGAAATGTCATTATCTAAACTTATTTTAATTCTTCCACTATGGGCCTTGTTGTCAAATGTTATCTGTGAAGACAGGAAAACAGTCAAAAACATACTTAAAGTTTTTGAAACCAAGAAACATCTACACATTATTTAGGAAACAATTCTTTCAAGAGGACAGGAGACCCAGATTCTCATCTCCAATCTGTTGCTAACTCGGTTCAACCATGGGAAGTTCCTTTCATTTCTCTGTGAAATGAGAAGGATGAACTAGATCTTCTACAGAGACTCTGTAGTCTCTAAAACGTTATATGTCTAGGACAGCATTTCCACTCCGAAGAACTTATATAACAAGGGCACTTCCTCTTGCTCTCCACTCTAAGTACCTCTAGATACCTTCTTCATATGAGCAAGAGCTGGTACAACTGTGCTTTCTCCCAAATTCCGGCAGGACCTCAGCTGGGGGTAGATTTTCAGTGCTGCTATAATTTTTTCTAATACAAAGGCTCATTATTTCGCTTTGAGACATTTCAAGTGGAGCTTTTTTGATTTTTATTCTGGGTCTAGATTTCTTAGTCACGTTGGCACCACATGTATTATAAACGGTTTGGTGACAGGGAGTCAGCAGTCACATCTTGCTTCAAGAATAACCACTTCAGGACACCAGGGGCCAAGGAGGACAAAGCTAGGCCAGAACACCTTCCATAGTTCTACTGTCCTCCTTATGCAAGGACAGGGAAGGCAAGGCAAGAAAATCATTCCGTTTCATTTCTGCCTCTTCTCTTTCTCTCAAGTCCTGAAGAAAAAAAGTTCTTTGAAAACTCTGTCATTTAAATAAATTGTACTGAAGCTTCTCCATATGGGGTAATCAGAAACACTTCAAATACAAGATTTCAAATGACTTTTAAAAGTTCAATCACTGTATTTCTCCTCACGAGGGATTGTAAACTTCTTTCTTTGACAAGCAACTGAGGGCATAGTCAGTGTCTGCCCATATCCCTAATGGCTGCAAGACCCAGCCTATGGCCTCATGCAAGGAGGATGCTCAGTGTTATTTGATTGAGTCAGAAATCCTTGCCACGGAGAAGCCATGCTTTTCCTACACAAAGGGCCTCTGGCTTGTACAAATAATAGGTGCTCACTAAATATCTATTGAGTAAAAAACTGGGGCTTAATGTCAATCACATCTCAGTAAGCTGAATCCCAAACAAAGAAGAAAAATAATGGATGGGATTAGAAAAGATTAGATAGCACAGAAGGAAAAATAGTGAGTTTGAAAATACAGCAACAGAAACTATCAAAAATGAAACACACTGAAAAAAACTGAAACATAAAACAAACAGATCGTTAGTGAGCTATAGGACAACTCCAAGTAATCATATACAGACGTATTTGTCTCTGAACCTCTGAAAAGGTGGGGGCGAGTGACAAAAATATTTTAAGAAATAATGCTGAATATAAAATATAATGACAACTATAAACCTACAGATCCAAGATGCTCAGTGAAACCTAAACACAGGAAACATTAAGAAAACAACACCAAAGCATTTCACAATCAAATTGTTTAAAATCAGAGATAAAGGAAAAATTTAAAAGCCAACAGATGGGAAAAAAATATCCCATAGAGAAGAACAAGGATAAAGATGACAGCAGATTTCTCATCAGAAACAATGCAAGCTAGAAGAACAACATCTTTAAAGTGCTGAAGAAAAAAACAGTCAACCTAGATAGAATTCTATAGCCAGGGGCACTATCTTTAGCAAAGGAAGGCTTGGAATAGAATAATGATTACCAGAGGCTAGAAAGGGCACTGGGGAGGCGTGAGGGATAAATAAGGGTTAGTTAATGGGTACAAAGACACAGTGAGGGCCAGGCGTGGTGGCTTATGCCTGTAATTCCAGCACTTAGGGAGGCCGAGGCAGGTGGATCACGAGGTCAAGAGATCGAGACCATCCTGGCCAACATGGTGAAACCCCGTCTCTACTAAAAATACAAAAACTAGCTGGGTGTGGTGGTGCGTGCCTGCAGTCTCAGGTATGTGGGAGGCTGAGGCAGGAGAATCGCTTGAACCTGGGAGGCAGAGGTTACAGTGAGCCGAGATCACGCCACTGCACTCCAGCCTGGCAACAGAGTGAGAATCCATCTCAAAAAAAAAAAAAGATACAGTGAGATAGAAGAAATAAGATCTAGTGTTTAGTAGCACAATATGGCAACTATAGTTAATAATTTATTTTATATTTCAATATAAATAAAGGAGTAGATTTGGAATATTCCCAACATAAAGAAGTGATAAATATTCGAGGTGGTGAATGTTGTCCCAATTACCCTTATTTCATCATTACACACTGAATGCTTGCATCAAAATATCACCTGTACCCCATAAATACGTATTTGTAAAAGTTTTATTTAAAAGATGCTAATAAGAACTTTAAAAAGGAAGGCAAAATACTTTTTTAAACATACAAAAGCTGAAAGTGCAGACCTGCACTGTAAGAAATGTTACAGGAAGCCCTTCAGGCAGAAGGAAAATAATACCAGATGCAAACTGGGAGCTACACAGAATGAAGCACACTGGAAATGGTAGCTACATGGACAAATATAAAGATGTTTTTATTATTATTTAAATCACTTTTTAATTGACTGTTTAAAGAAAAAATAATAACATATATTGTGGGTTTATAACACATGTAGAAATACATTATATGGCCACAATAGCACAAGGGCCAAGATGGGAGAAATGGAAGTACATTGTCATAAGGTTCTTACACTGTATGCAGTGGTATAACTTGAAGGTAGACTGTAATAAGTTAAAGGTGTATACTACAAACCCCAAACATGGAAACATCCATGGTGAGGAAACTAAGTAACAAGAACCCTTGGCAGTAACCTTTAGCTGACAGCCAGCCATAGACTGCTGAGAGCCAACCACACAGAACCTAAAAACACCTATTCCTTTTGTGTTTGAAAATCTATACGAGGCACTGTTCATGGTACTGGAAATAGTACAGTGAACAAAACAAGGTGTCTGCTCTCCCAGAACTTATACAGAGGTGCAGGAGACATAATTAACAAGTAAACTTATTATTATAGCAAAATAGAGCTAGATGTATCAATGTTTCCCTTATGCACATTCAAGTGAAAACATCCTGTATTTTTTATCACAGCATAATCCAGTGATATGAAACATAATCAGATAAAACAATTTTTCTCCAGATTGGAACCAAATTCAGCCTGGCCCACACTTACAGTCAGAGTAAAGTCATAACAGTCAGGGAGTTCTTGATGACGAACTGTCTGCAGATTAATGGCTTTCAGTTTAAACTGAAGCTCCACTGTTAGGAGTCTAGAAAACAGAGGCAATTTTAGTTCTGTGGCAATATATACATACAAACATAAGTTACACTCCTATCTGCTCCCCTCACCTGTGGAAGTCCAGTGTTAAGTTCAGTTTATTTTCTGCTGGTGTCCCAGTGTGGAAAGGTTCATCTGGCTCTACAAAGAAACACTCTGCCATAGAAAGGAACAAAAACATGATACAGTACTTAAAATAATAAATAAGACTGCATTTCGAAAGGCTTACATTTAAGACCAGTTATTCAGATTCTATTATTTTTCTGAATTAAAATTTTAAAAGCTAAATAAACATTGATAACACATGACTCATTTGTTTTTAAGACCTACATGGCTACAACATTTCTGGAGTGGATGGAGGCTAGACAAAGATCTGAACTCTATATTGTTAATGTTATATAAATGCTGTCTTCGTTTTTAAGCCTCAACTTTGAGTCCCTCCCCATTTTTGTTTCCTAAGCATAGAATTTGAAGCACTTGCAGTAATTACAGTAATATTTTCTAAGCAGTTTGAAGGATCTATTTTTAAAACATTATGTGCTAACAAGGTTCCTTCAATACACACCCCCCTACACACACCAAAAAGGGAAGACAGCATTTTATAAAGTTTTCACTAGTCGGTACTATTATCAGTATTACCTCTCGGAAAAAAGAATCCTAGTGGCTGTTGTTAAAAGTATTTTTGAGCCACCGCGCCCGGCCCAATCCCAGCACTTTGGGAGGCCGAGACGGGCGGATCACGAGGTCAGGAGATCGAGACCATCCTGGTGAACACCGTGAAACCCCGTCTCTACTAAAAAATACAAAAAACGAGGCGGGCGCCTGTAGTCCCAGCTACTCGGGAGGCTGAGGCAGGAGAATGGCGTAAACCCGGGAGGCGGAGCTTGCAGTGAGCTGAGATCCGGCCACTGCACTCCAGCCCGGGCTACAGAGCGAGACTCCGTCTCAAAAAAAAAAAAAAAAAAAAGTATTTTTGAATACTTATTTTTTAACTCAATGACCTAAGCTAATATTTTAGGTATAATTGCAAATAGAACTTTGCTAAGAAGAATAAGCCATGCTATTCCATGTTCTGATTCTCATTCCTCCCCTTCAATCTGCCCCAAAAGATGCATGATAGTGAAGCGGTATTGGGGCAAGAGTTATACATCAAGAGTTTGCAAGCATAATGTTTTACAAGCATAATATCTATCTATTAATACTTCACTGGCATGTCCTGCACAAGAGATGGTGTAATACGGTAGCTAAGAGCACAAACAGCCTGGGCCAAATTTCAGCACTGCCTCTTCTAGCTCGATCTTGGGTAGACCATTTAACTCTCTGAGCCATACTTTAGCCTTCTATAAAAGGGGATAATAATAATCCTTGACTTGCTGGGTTTTCTTGAGGATTCTTGAGTTACAGTAAAGGGCTCAGAACAGTACATGACACATAATAACTCCTATATCATTCTTACTATGTCCTAATAGCACAGACCAAATCAATGTTTTCAAAGATGAAATTACTAATTTTAAATGTAAATTGAGGCATTAAAAATTGAAGTTCTATGTTATAGAAGAACATCACCAGTTTCAATTTCTGGATCGATGTCAAAGGTATCATTTCCAGGGTAGATGTGTCCTCGCTTGTAGAAGTGCTGACAGATTGCCATAGCAGACTGCTCGATACCTTTGTTCTCATAAGCATGATTCCCAACGGAGACATTGTATAGCTGCAAGTACTTCAACCAAAACGAGAAACAGAAAATGGGAATGCCAGCCAGGGCAGAAGTGAAGCCATAACTCCTCTCCCTCCCCACCTCTGATACTGGCAGGTTCCCACCTCCCCCTTGAGATAGAGACATTCACCTTGACAAACAGGGTAAGTGACTTGCTGCTGTGCACTAGGAAGGCAAAGGGCTATCACAAATTAGAGTTAGTCTAGATTCAAGCCTCATTTCTGTGACAAACTTCCTGACCTTCTAGTTCCTTATCTGCAAAATTAAAGTCTGAAGCCACTTAATCTTTGCGTTTCTTTCCTCCCTTAAAGAATTATGTTTAGGAACTGACTGTGACATTCAATGTAAATACATATTTTATTTATCTTTAAATTATATCCTGTAAGGTCACAGTTCTACTTTAACACTGTAGTATAAGAAGTGGGGTACAATTATTATAGGCTAGCCAGCAGAACTTTTTTTTAAGAAAGTATTGGTTTAACCTTTATCTTTGCAAGATTATAATTTAATCACCTTTATAGCAATATTGCCTATCCTAGCAGGTCCTCTACATTTAAAAAAAATTACTTTTACAAGTAAGAATCTTATGGTGCCTTGGAATAACTGTCATCTTAAATTCTTAATGGATATCTGCAGACATGTTTCCAAAACGAAGTGTTTTTGGAGCAATATGTCTGGTACAATTGGTCATTCTGTCATTCTTGAAATTAACAACTTTGTGTGATCGACACATCGAAAATAATTCTGCTAAAAGATATGTGTGAAGCATACTATAACAAATGAAGACAATAATTTCTAATATGGGATAGATTTTGAGTTGGACCTTGTCAAGGTCACTAATGAGCAGCATATTACCAAATCTGATGCCTAGTTCTCAGTCCTCCTGTAACTTAATATCTCCATGGTATCTGATGCAGTTGAATGCTCCTCCTACATGGAATACTTTCTTTACTTGACTTCTGGGACACTGATTGTTTGTTCTTGGTCTCCGTTGCTGAATCCTCCCACTGCTGACCTCTATATTTTGGCGTATCTTTGGATTCAGGCCATGACCTCTATCCACATTCTCTCCACAACTGACTTCGACCAGTCCCATGTTTCAAATACCACTTCTATGCTGACAGCTTCCAAATTTGCATCTCCAGCTCTGACCTTTCCACTGAATACCACACATGGATGGCAATCTGCCTACATGATGCCTATGATGTCTAAGAGGAATCTCTAGTAAATGTGCACACAGAAACACCTGCTTCTTCCACAGTAATTCCCTTCTCAATAAATTATTCTGTAAGTCAGTCAGTTGTTGAGGCCAAAACTTAGGAAAGATCCTTTTGTCAATTCCTCTTATACTGTACTTCCAGTCCATCTGAAAGTCATACATGACTTTCAAATTATCTCTGCGCAAGAATCACTTAAAAATCTGAGCCTCCTCACCACAAATAGGACTGTCTCTCATCACCTTCACTGATACGGCCTTAGTCCAAACCACCATCCTCTCTCCCCTGGACAAATTAAGCCTCTGCCTCTCCAATCTTCCCTCTCACCTTAGTCTAGTCTCCATCTAGAACTCATAGGATTGCTATAAGGAATGAATGAATTCATGCATGTACAGCCCTTAGAACAGTGATATCCAAAATACACCTGCTGAAGACTCTTCTTTTTGCTATTCTTCCTATCTGAAAAGTTCTTCCTTGAGACAGACACAGGCTGCATGCCCTCTCTTTAGTCTGCTGTCTGTGTACATGTCACCTTGTCGAAGAGACCTTCTCCAACCACTTCCAGCTATTCACTTTGCTGGCTTTATTTTATATTTCACAATACTTATTACAAACTGACAGAAGATGCTCTTACATAGTTATTTATTGCCTGGCTCTTCCAATGAGAATATTACCTCCTTGACTTTATTTGTTCACTGCAGTACCCCTGCACACAAAAAAAGTGCCTGATACATAATAGATACTATTTTTTGTTTGTTTTTGTTTTTGAGACGGAGTCTCACTCTGTCACCCAGGCTGGAGTGCAGTGGCATAATCTCAGCTCATTGCAATCTCTGCCTCCCAGGTTCAACCGATTCTCCTGCCTCAACCTCCTGAGTAGCTGGGGTTACAGGTGCGTGCTACCATGCCCGGCTAATTTTTTTGTACTTTTTAATAGAGACAGGGTTTCACCGTGTTAGTCAGGATGGTCTCGATTTCCTGGCCTCCTGATCTACCCACCTCGACCTCCCAAAGTGCTGGGATTACAGACGTGAGCCACTGTGCCCAGCCAATAGATACTATCTAATAAATATTTGAGTGAATACATGTTAGATTTTGCTTATGTATGTTATCATTGTCTCTCCCCTATCAAAAGCCCTTCCATGGCTTCCTGTCTCTCAGAATAAAATTCAGAGCTCCTTTACATGTCCTGAGAGACCTGGCCCCCAGCTCCTCTGGCCCTAACTCTGCCCCCTCATACTTGCCTCCCTTGCATTTTCTCAAACATACCAAACGCTTTCCAGCTTCAGGGCCTTTGCTGTTGCCACACGTTCAGCTTGAAATATTCTCCCCAAGATTTCAAGTCTTCAGAAAGGCCTTTTCTGACCACTCTGAGACTACTGTTATTGCCTTATGCTGGTTTATTTTTCTTCATAGCACTCATCATTACCCTAAACCAAAAGATTTTAGTTAAACTTGTTAAAAATCTATCTCCCCCATTAGAATGCAAGTTCCACAGGACAGGGAATTTATCAATCCACTGCTCTAACACCAGTCCTGCAGGCACACAGTAGGTGCTCAAATATTTGTCAAGTGAATGGTGAGGTGAAAAATTACAATAATGCGATGGAGCTCTTTATTACTAGAGCTAATCTGTGCACAGTGAGTTGGTAAACAGGATAAGATAGATGATTATGGCACCAAGCTTTCTGTTAGCATTAGGATTGGGAAAGTGAGCCAGAATCTACAGTAATAGAAGCAAGCTTCCTAAGCTAGTAAACAACATTACGTTTGGCATATGGGGTAAAGTAGAATAATGCTAGAGATACTCAGTTTTGAGATTTTTGTTTTCCATTTAAGGTACCCAGTAGACCAGTGTGCCTAGAACATATGATGTGTAATGGGAGGTAAATCGGGAAAGGCAAGCAGGGGTCACGAAGCGCAGTCATAGCTGCGATGGGGCCCTACAACGCTCCCAGAGTCCAGGTGTAATTGTGGGGCAGTCCCCACAGGAATCCCCTAAATGGCTGAAACTCCTGACCACAGAATCTTATGTCTTAAACCTTTCAAGGTCTTGAACTGTGAAAGGTCTGAGGCCCATGGCTGCAGGTACCTGTTAACATTATACCTATATACACCACAGTTACATTATATAATATATACATTAACTACATATGCTATAGCCAGACTTCCTTGAGCTCTTCATATGGCTCTTTGTGTAGGTCTGAGCATCTGGCAAGAACTGGGTAATCTAGGGAAGCAGCAGGGCTGTGTCCAGCTAGAGGGCAGCTCTAGAGCCCAAGACAGAGGGTATGGGACAGAAATGTAGTATAAGATGATGGTTGGAACTAACGATGGTGAGACAGCACAGAGCAGCCAAGTGCCTGAGGTCTTGGTGGAGCTTTAACTAGACTGGGCATCCGTCCCTCCTGGTCTCTGCAGTTCTGCCTTGAGAGAAGAAGTTTTCAGTCAGATCCATGGGTCCCAGGTCAGCCTTTGGGGGATAATATAAAAACACATTCAATGTCCTTAGCTAAATGCTGTGGCACCAAAAGCAAGAGGTGGTAGGGCAAGGGGGTAGGAAAGAAAGGAAGCCATCCAGAAACAGGAAGTTATAAACTATGTTTGAGCTGCAAGAATAAACAATTCCAGGAAGACCCTGAGGCCTTTCAACCTAAGCCAGAAGACCAGAAAGGAGAAACAGCCTAGGGAGTGGGTGGGAGGAGACTGTGATGGGCAGTTCTGAAGTGCTTGTGGGGTAGGTGTCTGGCAGTGTGGGCAACTACCTGGGAGTCCCTTCATCATAGTGATGGCTGAGGCTGGGTAGTAGAGGTCGTTTCTGCAGGAAAAGGACCAAGCTTTGAGGACTGCTCAAATTTAAGAGGCAGATGAAAGAAAAAGAACCAATAAAGCTGACCCCAAAATTATTGAAGAAATAAGAGGAAAGCCAGGAGACAGCCTAAAAAGAAAATAAGTAGGTCTCTCACATTCAAATATAGAAGCGTATATAACAAACAGCAGTGCTGTTATAATCACAGTATTGGATAAGAATGAGCCCTGGAGATTATCCAGTAGGATGACATCTTGGGGATAAACCCTTGGGGATAGCTAATAGTTATGGATATGCTTCTAAGAATTGAGATGCCACTGCCCTATTTGTCAGTTCCTCTCAGTAACAATCACCTCAACTATTAATCCTTCCCTTTTTAAAAATAATTTATATTTTGGCCAGGTGCAGTGGCTCATGCCTGTAATCCCTGCACTTTGGGAGGCCAAGGCGGGCAGATCACTTGAGATCAGGAGTTCGAGACCAGCCCGGCCAACATGGTGAAACCTTGCCTCTACTAAAAATACAAAAAAAATTAGCTGGGCATGGTGATGGGAGCCTGTAATCCCAGCTACTCATGAGGCTGAGGTGGGAGAATCGCTTGAGCCCAGGAGGCAGAGGTTGCAGTGAGCCGAGATTGCGCCACTGCACTCCAGCCTGGGTGACAGAGTGAGACCCTGTCTCAAAAATAAAAAATAAAATAAAAAATAGAAAATATTCATATTTTTTTCTATTCATTTCTCAGAAGCATGAAAGAGAACTGTACTCACACTCAAAACCCTACTTATTCATAAAAATTTTGATCAAGACACTTTTTATCTTCAGTTAAAAGTACATACTGCTGCTTAGAAAAACAGTAAATCACCTTAGAAAACAGTAGGGAATCAATAGTAGGGAGTCACACATGGAATGTATGTGTCCCTCCAAAGTTCTTATGTTGGAAATTAAACCCCAATATGATAGTCTTAAGAGGTGAAGTATTTAGGAGGCCAACAATCATGAATAGGACTACTGGCCTTATAAAAGGCTGGGAGAAATTAGCCAGGCCCTTTTGTCCTTCTGCGTTCCACCATGTAAGAACACAGCAAGAAGGTGCAAGCCCTTACCAGACACCAAACCTGCCAGCAGCTTGATCTTGGACTTCCCCGGCTCCAGAATTATTAGGCAGAAATTTCTGTTGTTTGTCTGTTATCTAGTCTCAGGTATTTTGTTGTAGCAGAAGGAACAGACCAAGACAACTAGAATAAAGCAGGTACATGCATTTCCAGAAGGAATGTGGAAGTCTGAAAAGCAGAATGGCCTAAGTGCCAAATACTACATTTTGAAGACTGAGTCTAGGTTTACAAATAAAGGTTAAGATGATTTATAAGGAATTTAATGTACTTTGGGAGGCTGAGGTGGGAGGATCACTTGAGGCCAGGAGTTTGAGCAACCTGGGCAACATAGGGAGACCCTGTCTCTACAAAAAAAAAAAAAAAAAAATTTTTTTTTTTAATTCGCTAGGTATAGTGGGCCATGCCTGTGGCCTCAAGCTGCTTGAGAGGCTAAGGTGGGAAGATCACTTGTGCCCAGGAGGTTGAATCTGCAGAGAGCTGTGACTGCACCACTGCACTGCAGCCTGGGTGACAGAGTGAGATCCTGTCTCAATAAAAAAAATTTAATGAACTGTTTACCTCTTGCCTCTATCCTGCTCCCCGCCACCCCCTCCAAAAACACCAAACTACCAGTTTAGATCAGACTAGCTTTAGAGAAACTTAATATACTTAAAATTCTAAAAACTGAGTATCTCCATCATTATGCCTTTTCCCCCCTATAAGTTGTAGGACATAGTTCTGTTTAACAGTTTATGTAACTTATTTCTATTACTTTAGATTTCTGGCTCATTTTCCCAACCCCAGTGCTAACAGAAAGACTTCATGCTATAAATATGTATTTTATCCTAGCAGTTTACATCTTACTGTGCATAGATTGTCTCTAGAAAATGAATAGCCATGATTACACTATAATAATTTTCTGAAGAATTGTAATAATTTTGAAATGTGTTCTGCAAACTAACCCAGTCTGCGAATGCTGACTTCAAGGATGCTTTCAATGACACCTAAAAATTTAAAAATTTGGGGTCTTCAAAAGTATTATTTATGGCAAAAATATATATTACAAACTCAGAATAAAATACAGTATTCATCTACATGATAAACAAGCTTGTTTTTTGTTTGGCAGTTAGTCAATGTCACAATAAAATCATTGTCATGTATGACATAAAGGCCTTACTTACTTTCGAGTGAATTTTTAGGTCTTGGTTGCTGTACAAACTCTGAAAAGTTAATATTCTCATTATTTGTTAAGGGGCCCTGAAAGTATACTTTCAGCTCTGAGGACTTAATGACTACTTACACCCAGGGTCATAGTTACTAATTTTAATTTTTGAGACTCCCATGCCAAGCCCTAACTCTGATTCTTTTAATTAAATCTTTAAGGTTTCTGCCTTTCTGTTACTAAACAAAAGCTTTTCTCAACTTCTGGTTTTATAAAAATTTGTTGACAGTATTTTTTAAAAATTAAAAATAATTTTGTATGTGTCATTTCTAAGCAGAAATGTTCACCCTTCTCCACTTGAATGTCAGTTTCTATTACATACATTGCCACCATTTTTCCAGTCTGTTCTTTTTCCCAAGTAAATAAGGCACACACTTGATTTACCTGGTTCACTGCGAAGATTATCTGATCATACACGTCACTTTGTGTGTACACTGCATATGTGTCATCCATTCGGTCCATATATCCTTTTAGGAAAAGGTGTTTGAATGCTATAGTATTCTCTTCCTTGAAAGCTACCACCATCTGGTTACTTAGCCCAAATAAGACCAGCTTAAAAGAAAAAAAAGAAAAGGTAAGAGGGTGGCAAATGTGGGCAGAAAAAGCAGAGCAGAAGGTACAGGGGCTTGAACAACAAATAGAAGAGTTTAAAATGAATTCTCTGGGACATCAAGAAGGTTTTGCAGCAGGTGGATAATAATTTAAGAAAGTACAAGTCCTATGACCACACTATATTCCTAAGTCTAATCACCAAAACCACGACAGTAAGACCAAAAATAGAAAATACCTTTTCAACTCATGTTTAAAGTATATTAACATAATGTGTCCTTAATAGTCATGCAGGATTGACCTAAGTGTTTTAAATGAAACTCAGTTGTTCACACACACAAAAAGTTTCACTGCACTGTTGACATGTTAACCTAAGGCCTTTCAATTATACCTAAAAGCTTACAATATAGCCGGGCGCAGTGGCTCATACCTGTAATCCAAACACTTTGGGAGGCAGAGGCAGGTGGATTACTTGAGGTCAGGAGTTCAAGACCAGCCTGACCAACATAGTGAAACCCCATCTCTACTACAAATAAAAACAGTTAGCCGGGCATGGTGGCACATGCCTGTAATCCCAGCTACTCAAGAGGCTGAGGCAGAAGAATCGCTTGAACCCGGAAGGCAGAGGTTGCTATGAAATGAGATTGCGCCATTGCACTCCAGCCTAGGCAGCAAGAGTGAAACTACGTGTCAAAAAAAAAAAAAGCTTACCATACTCTAAGTCTCTCTTTCGTCTTCTCTTCCCTCTCACCCAAACCTCTCTCTCTCTCTCTCTCATACACACTTCCACACACAGGCACACACATGCACACACCCCCCCCCACATGCTGTACATGCTGTAAATTGAGAAACTACACTCTTACTTAAATCCCAGAGTGAGGCAGAGTATATTTTATATGGAAGGCAGGAACAGTGTTGACCACCTATGTGCCATACACTATTCCGGGAACTTTCCTCATACTAATCCTGCCGTATATTCCTAATACACCAATTTTAGAGGTGAGGCCTAGAGAAGTTACATAATTTTTTCAAGTCACATAACTAGCCAGTTGATACAGTCAAAATTGAAACCCATATCTGACAGACTAAATCTAGGTTCTATCCACCCTGCCATGCTACACAAAGTAATTCAGGGTTTCATCAGAAAAAAACAGAGCAGACAATCTTTTCCCCTCTCCCTTCCACATATGATATATGGTCTGCACCCCACACATATCATCACTCTGCACCTAACTCTCATTTCTGCAGAGCTTCTTTAATTATCCTCAATAAGACTATATCTTGATATTCTGGGGATTTTGCATCTGTTGAAGCTGATGACCAAACAGCCCCAAAGAATGCTCAAAGATATTCTTACCAGTCATTCAAATACAATTATGGCAAAAATATATATTACAAACTCAGAATAAAATACAGTATTCACCTATATGAAAAACAAGCTTGTTTTTTGTTTGGCAGTTAGTCAATGTCACAGTAAAATCATTGTCATGTATGACATAAAGGCCTTACTTTCAAGTGAATTTTTAGGTCTTGGTTGCTGCACAAACTCTGAAAAGTTGATATTCTCATTATTTGTTAAGGAGCCCTGAAAGTATACTTTCAGCTCTGAGGACTTAATGACTACTTACACCCAGGGTCATAGTTATTAATTTTAATCTTTCATCATAGTGATGGCTGAGGCTGGGTAATGGAACCACCACACCTGACTCTCATGTGTCAGCAGTGAGCTAGCAACTGAGGATACAATGAGAAGACATTGGTCCCTGCCCTCAAAGGTTTAGTGGCAGACAGGAATAACAATGGCTGAGAGAAAACTGCTGTCATTCAGAGTAAGCCAGGCAGTGGGAAAAGAGAAATAGGATGTCCACCATTGTAAACATCTTTCTTTTGCTGCTGCAGACACAAAATCTCAAATTTAACCGAAGGACCACCTCCTTTTCCCTGAGAGAATCTGTCACCATTTGCTCACCTCATTTGCCCAATTACAAAGCTGTCTTTATCTACTATTTGTTTGATTGCTCTGATATAAATTAGGGAAACATCACAATTAAGAAACCCTCAGTTCCTTTTAAAAACTTACCTAAACCTTTTACATGCTTATTACTAGCAGCTTTAGTATCTTAAACCACTGGCCAGTTTTCCTTTGATCACCCTAGTAAACATAGGAAGGTTAGATGAGCTCCCTAAGAATTAAAAATTAAGAATTAAGAATTACGAACATAAATCTTAGAGAAAATCTTAGAGAAAATAAATCTTAGAGAAAATAAATCTGAGTTTGAATATCAGTTCTACTCTTCTAGTTTCCTGACTATGACAGGGTCCTTTTCCTTACCAAGTCCCTCATCGTTCTCCTCTGTGAAATGAGGATACCACTACCTACCCTCCAACTTGTTTTAAGAATTGAGTATGGGCTGGGCACAGTGGCTCACCGTGTAATCCCAGCACTTTGGGAGGCCTAGGTGGATGGATCACCTGAGGTCAGGAGTTCAAGAGCAGCCTGGCCAACATGGTGAAACCCCGTCTCTACTAAAAATACAAAAGTTAGCCAGGCGTGGTGGCATGCGCCTGTAATCCCAGCTATTCAAGAGGTTGAGGCAGGAGAATCGCTTGAACCCAGGAGGCAGAGGTTGCAGTGAGCTGAGATGGTGCCACTGTACTCTAGCCTGGGCCACACAGTGGGACTCCATCTCAGAAAAAAAGAATTGAACATGATGACACCTATAAAATATTTAGCCTGGTACACAGCAAACACTCAAGTGGTACCTATTATTATTCTAAGTAGAAAATATTCATGTTCAATTGTTACAGGCTTTTCCCTTTTATAAGAAACAATAGACATAAACTTTTCACTACTGTGACACACCATATTATCACTCAGAAGTTAAGAATTTCAATTTCAACTTGCCAAATATTTGGCTGAGGATTGAACATCCATTTTCAGTGTGTATAATAGAGAGAATGCCTGCCTTCAAAGTCTTGACATTGCCACTGACGAGCCATGTGATTTTTTTTTTTTTTTTTTTTTTTTTGAGACAGGGTCTCACTCTGTCACCCAGGCTGGAGCACAGTGGTGTGATCACTACACCTGGCTAATTTTTGTATTTTTTGTAGAAACGGGTTTTCACCACGTTACCCAGGCTGGTCTGGAACTCCTTAGCTTAAGCAATCCACCCACCTCAGCATCCCACAGTGCTGCAATTATAGGCATGAGCCACCCTGCCTGGTCAAGCCATGTGACTTTAAAAGAGCTCTATGAATGTCAGCTTCCTCTTCTGTAAAATGAGCCAGTAGGAGTGTTAGAATTAAATGAAATAATGTACTGGAACAGGGTAGTCACCAAATGTTTGTTTCCCTTGATACAACATCTAGCATTAGAAACAAGCAAGAATTCTACCAACTTCATATGAGTGTAGAAATTGCTTTGGTTCCCTAACAATCATAAGCATTTGTTCTCAACAAGCAATTAAAATTAGTAATGTCCTTTTTTTTAATCTCTCCTTCAATACCAATTGTTTATTTACTTAAGCATTTTTCACCAACTTAGGAAGAGTAAGTAATAATAAAAATAAACCTATCACATCGATTTTTCTCATTAAAATCTGCTTTTATTTTGCCCTTTGCTTTTAGCAAGAGATAATTACTCTCACCAACGGGAAAACATATTTTCGTAAGAGTAAATCACAACCAGTATATATTAAGAATCACAAAATATGGTTCCTCCTTCCCCCATAAAAATATTAAAAGAAGCCAAGGAAATAAGATTTAAAAGCTCCCTTTGAACTAAAAAGAGGTCCTGTGTTTCTCTAGCTCCTGCCACTCCTCTTCTCTTAGTTAACTTCACATTCTTCCATTGCACGGGTCTCATGATCACAGGGTTGTGAGAACCTAAGAATTTGCCTGTAGCAAGAGCCCTTTAAGTTTCTGAAGAGAGAAATTTCCAGGAAACTAACTAGGAAGGAAAAGAAAGTCCTAATATTGGACAACACTAGTTTCCATGGCTTATTTAGAAACCAGCTGAACCTCTTCATTGGAAGCCAAATATTAGTTTTCCTTTGCTGAAAACTAATTAGATTATGTGACTAAAATTATAACCAAGGGAAAGATGAGAAGAAAAAAACTCAGAAAAAAGAAGCCAAACTCTTTCACAAATGTTGAAGACAGAAGGGTCTAAGATTGTATGTTTTCTTATCTGTTACTGTTCTACATTATGCATGTAGTTAAAAGTTATATATATTAAAAAAACAAAAACACTGTCCATAGTTCTCTTTGTTATTAAAAGAGGCTTTCACCAAACCCATGATCTGAGATACTTACCTGGATAGTCACCATTGCAATTTTTAGAATTTGTATGGCAAGTTTCCATGGTTTTCTGCCTCGAGCCCAGAACTTCTCACAGGGATTCATGAAAAAAAATTTGAGTTTTCGCCTCATCTGGTCTTCTAATAGAAGCTCCTCAGATGGAGACGTATGCTGGTTAAAATTGCAGCGATTTTCCTCTTCATGAGAGCTGCAGCTACTTATAACTACCTCAGGATTTGCCATCTCTAGAGGAAAAAAACAACAACAACCAACATTTCCATTTAGTGAGTAAAGACACAAGTCCATATTCTTTGATACTGCAGGAAGAAGCCCAAATAGAAGTTCTGGTTTCAAATAAGCACCACTGCTCTAAACTGCATTTTAGATGTTTACAGAATCAGTTCTAATGTAAGACATCACTTTTTTATTTGTTTTAATTACAAAGTGAATTTTCACATAGTTCAAAGTTACCAAATTCAAGGGCTGCTCCCAACAGTAAAAGATTATATGTACATATATATAGGATGTATATGTTTTCTGCCTCAGTATAGTTAGAGCAGGATCAGAGACCTGAGGACCACGGGGAAGGACTTCAGAGGGTACGTGGGCCTTGAAGTTATATGAAAACTTTCATATATGTGGCTGTGGACACTTTTTCCTGGGAAGTAACTAAAACTTTCACAGATTATCACAAAATGTTTAAAACCACTGAGTTAAAGATAGCAGGGTGTAGTGTAAAGAACCAAGATTCAGTTTGGTTTCTAATCCTGGTTCTATAACTTGACATTTCTGCAATCTCAAGGAAATCATTTAGCCCTTCTGAGCCTCAGTTTCCTCTCCAGCAAAATGGGAATAACACCACCTACCCTTCTACGATTGTAGCCAGAATTAAATAGTTATGACTGTAGTGACCATTATATAAAACAGCAAAGTCTTTGCATAGGGTCTAGCGCTAAGCAGACTCACCTGCCTAACACCCACAGCAGACAGAGCGGCTTCCTAGAAAGGTTCTTTAAGGGGCAGTATGTGCCTCAGGAAACATAACTGTTGTACAAAGGGGAAAGTAGGCCCTCAATTTAAGACTAATTCCCAGTCTGTGGCATCACTTGTAAGGACTTTTTAATTGAAGGCCTTATATTTATAGCATATTTTCAAAGTACTTCATATCTATTTGGGGAGGCCGGTGCGTTTGAAAAGGGCTGGGTTGAGCTGGTTTTATTGTCTTCAGAATTAGCTTTTTCAAAGTGACGGAGAAGTCACTCTAGAGACTGGGATGGATCTTGGATTTTCCCTCAGACTAAGACTGATATTATACTATGGAAACCTGTTCAAAGTAAAATACCCCAAACCATGAGTAGGGTTCTTCCATACAGAAAAGAAAGGCAGGCTTTATTTGACATTTTAATAATAACTTGTACTCAGCAATGAAGGAGGAAAATTGCAACCTGCATTCATACAATTTCTTACAAGTCACTGGTTAGATACCATGCTGCTTTCCAAGTCTAGAACCCCACTTTTGATTCCAATTCAAGCATTCTTAGCAAGCCCAACATCTCCGAACAATAGATACTGGCTATAAAGAATAGCCATGAGGAAGGTTTTTAAACTCTCGATTAATGAAGAGATTAATAAGGATACTGCTGGATGAATAAACCATAAAACATATTTACTGTATGGCATATGCAGTACCTTCAAAATGAAATAATTATGATATAACTCATTAAAGTGTGGCTTGTGTGTGTGTGTTAAAATGCCCGTCAAAGCATAAATGCAGTAATTCTTAGGTAAAGGCATAAAGGAAAGAAAATTATTAATAAATTAGGATTTTCACTCAACAGTTTTACTTCCTTCAAAAAGGCAGGGTTTTTTGGGTTTTTTTAATACTTTAAGTTCTAGGGTACATGTGCACAACGTGCAGGTTTGTTACATATGTATACATGTGCCATATTAGTGTGCTGCACCCATTAACTCGTCATTTACATTAGGTATATCTCCTAATGCTATCCCTCCCCGCTCCCCACAATAGGTCCCGGTGTGTGATGTTCCCCTTCCTGTGTCCAAGTGTTCTCATTGTTCAATTTCCACCTATGAGTGAGAACATGCAGTGTTTGGTTTTCTGTTCTTGCAATAGTTTGCTGAGAATGATGGTTTCCAGCTGCATCCCTGTCCCTACAAAGGGCATGAACTCATCCTTTTTTATGGCTGCATAGAATTTCATGGTGTATATGTGCCACATTTTCTTAATCCAGTCTGTCACTGATGGACATTTGGGCTGATTCCAAGTCTTTGCTATTATGAATAGTGCTGCAATAAACGTATGTGTGCATGTGTCTTTATAGCAGCATGACTTATAATCTTTTGGGTATATCCCCAGTAATGGGATGGCTGGGTCAAATGGTATTTCTAGTTCTAGATCCTTGAGGAATCGCCACACTGTTTTCCACAATGGTTGAACTAGTTTACAGTCCCACCAACAGTGTAAAAGTGTCCCTATTTCTCCACATCCTCTCCAGCACCTGTTGTGTCCTGACTTTTTAATGATTGCCATTCTAACTGGTGTGAGATGGTATCTCATTGTGGTTTTGATTTGCATTTCTCTGATGGCGAGTAATGATAAGCATTTTTTCGTGAAGGCAGGATATTTTAACCAGCATTTAAGGAGACTTTATCTATAGGACTTAAAACACAGATGATTTCATGTTCACCAAAGCTCGCATATGAACACCAACATAATGATGAAGCTGTTAATAATCAAGCATGTTGGTGAATTGTATATTGACATTAAGCCCTTTCCACTTTGATACAGGGAAAATTAAATTTTAAACAAACTAGCCACACACCATGTAACAGTAACCCACAGGAACAAAGAGAAAACAAGCCAACCAGCATCTATTCAGCACATCACAAGGAGTTGTCCCGGAAGACATTTCATTCACCAGGACCGGCTGCTGACCTTGGAAACGGTAGCTTTACCCAGTCTGAAAAGCACTTCCGAGGGTGCACTTTTAAAAACTACAAACTGTCGGAAACCCCAGCAGCTGAAGGAGATATTCGCAGCCAGCCACCTTTGACATTCACCCGGAGCACCGGCACGGGAGGCAAGGTGGGCGAAGGGCCCCAGCAGGAGAGGCTACCCGACCAAGGGGCCATCCGGAGAGGCCACCGAAGTATCTATCAGGCATGCTCTTAGAAGGAGCAAACGGACACACACAGGTTACCTATTCCTGGCGGTCAGAGGCTTGATTCGAGTAAGCTGTAGAAAATTGGAGAAAGCCCGGGACTGTATAAATAGGAAAGGCCTCGCAGTTGGCGACAAAGTTACGCAACCTCGTTTTTTCAGAAGCGCTTTCCCACTTCATCAGACACAAAACTTTGCTCTCACCAGTCTTTCTCTTTTTTTCTTTTTTTAAACAAACAAACAAGGGTTGACACTTATGTCGGATAATCTGTGCGAGAAAGAGCCTGAGGGTTGCAGCGATGTCCCAGAGCGGTCGCTGCCATCCCCGGGCACTGCCCTTGAGCTCAGACGGCCGCAGTCCGGCTGGCGGCTGCTTTCAGCCAGCGCAGCGACCCGGGCTTGAGCCCCTACTTCCAGCCGCCCCCACCTCTAACAGGGGGACAGTCCGCCTTGAGAGGGGCCGGCCGAGCCGCCTCAAGGCCATCTGGAGTCCCGGCCGGTATCAAAGCCTTCCAGCGCAGGGGCTCCGGGCAGAGGTGGCTTCCAGCCTTCTGAGCCCTGGCCACAGGTGGGCGGCGGCCTGGAGGGGGACTGAAGAGCAGAGCACCCCAACCCGCCCAGCCCCGGGCAGGCCTGGCAGGCACGCACCTCCACTGACCTGCGGGCGGTGTGGGGGCGGCGCGGAACAGCTGCATCTCGCGCCCAGCTCCAGCCCGCCTGCCCTCCATGGCGCCGACTGCCCGGCCCGACCCGGCCCTCCCGCGGCGTCCCCGACGGCTTGCTGCCTCCCGGCCTCCCGGGCCCCTCCCTGTGCGCTGCGGGCGCCGTTTCCGCGACACTCGACGCCCCAGGGCGGCGCCCGGCGGGCTCACCTGGGGGACAGCGGGGAGCGGCCGCAGCTCCGGTGTCCGCGGCAAGAGCGTAGGGAGAGTCAGCGAGCGGCTCCAGCAACCTCGAGCCCCGCTCCGCCCAGGGTCAGAAGGGAGGAGAGCGCCCCGTCCGCCGCCCGGGCATCCTCCCGCCCCCGCCGCTTTAACTCGTGACCCTACTCCCGGCTCCGGTTCCCGCCGCGCCCTGTCGCGGGGGCCGCCTTTCAAGAGCACAGGTGGGACGCAGGAGGCCGTCCGGAGGAAGCCGGCGTTGTGCCCGTTCTCTGCCACCCCCACCCTATCACTCCCTTGATTTTCTCCCTGAGCAACCCGTTCCGCCCTGCTCAGGTTTGCCCGCTTTGCTCAGGAGCTGCCGGGGGGGCCACCCGCTCCCGGCCGAGGCCCCTCAGGTGGTTGCCGGGCTCCGCGGGTGCGGGATCTATAGCTCCTAGCGCCGGTGAGTATGAGGCCCAGCTGCAGCCTCCCATTGTGATGTTTGCATACAAAGTGAAATCTTGAATGTCTTAGAGTTTCAAGCCTGAACCTTGTTCCCTCCCTGGGTCTTCTAGTTTCAGACAAGTGCCGTGAAATGAGTGGACAGTCGACTAGACTCCTCTGTAGATTGGGGGCTGGGGCAGAAAGAGCCCTGGGAAGCTTTTCCAAGAAATGTAAATAGAAATACCTAAAGTGGACTTTGAACCGTAATCTTTTTCTTCATAAATTATCCTTAAATATTAAACCTAATACCCCTTATCAGGATTGGATCAGAAACTTTGGTTAATTTTAATTATAATTACTTTGGATTCGTTCTGATTTTTAATTTTTACTTATTTATTTTTTTGGCCACGGGTAAGTTGGTAAAGGTCACTGAATTTCCCTACTAGGGTATTCCTGAAATTAGGTCGATACCTGGCAAACCTTTTATAAAACCTGTTTTCAAATCCTAAACCAGTATGCATGGATTACTAATAAATTTTTGCAACAGGGTACAAGAATTTTATGCTGTTGATTAACCTGGATCCCACATACCGTGAACAAGGTAGATCCCGCATACCGTGAACAAGAACAGAAAGGATATAATTGGCACAATTCTCAAGTGCAATTTGGGAAATACAATGTAATCTTTAATACCCATATGCCTACACACGATGTAACGCTATCTCCTTACTTGACGGTAAGAGTTTGAAATGCTTGATTGTTCAGGAACAATCTGAACTTTGTAGAGGTTCACAGTCATAAATGATGGCCCTTGCTTAACCCTCGTTTTAGCTGAGTTATAAGGACCGGTGAATAGAAAAAGCCAGGGTTTGAACTCAGGCAGATGAGGGCCCAAATAACCTTCTGTGCCACTTACTGGTCTCTAGGGAGTTACTTACCTTCTCTCAACCCCTTTTCCTTTTATGTGCAATCTGTAAGGTTAGCCGAGAGAAAGAACGAGAGAGAGAGTGAGAGTGAGTAAGAGAGAGAGAGAGAGAGAGACAGAGAGAGACAGACAAGTTCAGGCAAGCCTTTATTCAACCTCCCGGCTGCTCCATTACAGAGAGAGGCAGCCCTGAGCTTACAAAATGAGGGGTTTATATGGGGGAGAGAGACCCTGAGATTGTTTGTTGGTTTACTCTGCCACATATCACCTCGTGACGTTTATGGTACCGGAGAGTGTAGGTAAAATTTGTTTATGCTTCCCACGACCTCCCACTGTGCGGTCCAGATGGTTTGTAATTGGGTTTGCTTTAGAGCAGCAAGGCCTGATAGGTAAAAGTCTGCTGGCTTCACCGCGGTGCCTAGATAAGGGCTTAGAAATGTAAAAAGGTTTGGGGGAAGGGGAGGGGTGACACGGAGAGGTTTGAGGGGGTGGGGGTGGGGGTGTTGGCAGTACCAAGAAGCTTTTTTGGGGCAGCTTGTCCCTAACACAATCTAGCTAATAAAAGGAATGGTGATTTTCAATTAATATGATACATGTAAAGCACCTATTACTGTATCAAGCATATGTGATGTGCTTATAAATGCTGACTCCCCGTTTTTATTGGAAGACTTAATGAAAATATCAACCATGTTCATAAATTACAAGAATCAATATTATTAAAATGTCAGTTTTCACCAAGTTTATTTATAGATTCAACCCAATCTCAATGAAAATTCTAGCAAACTGTTTTGTAGAAATTGACAACTTGATTCTAAAATTCTTATGGAAGCAAATGCAAAGAATCAAGAATAAACAAAGCAATTTTTTAAAAGAAAGATAAAACTGGAGGATTTATCCTACCTATATCTATAAAGCTATTTAAGCTAGACAACTTGGTACTGATGAAGAGAGACATATAGACTACACATAGGCAATGAAACAAAATAGAATCTGGAAATAGATTCACACATATATGGTCAATTGATTTCTGACAAAGATGTTAATACAATGTAAAGGAGAATATTAAACGTTAACAATCAACATAATGATTTTACTGGCCTAAAGGAATATATTGACACCAAGTCAAAAGAAAGACAGGAAAGCTGACATGAAAGTTTTACATAAACATTCCTGGAAAGCAGGAGAGGAGTACATAAAAGAGAAGCAGTTAAGGTCTTATCAGTCAATCTTGCTTTTAACTTTTACAATGTTGTGTGTGTTTCTGGGCTTGTCAGTGAGTCATTCTTGTAGATAAACATCAATACATTTATACTCATAGAATATATTGTGTTAATCCAATTAATGGTATTGCAAGAAATAAGTGTTGGAAGCAAACAAGTCCCTACATTGCTAATTTCAACATATGATTCTTTTTTTTTTTTTTTTTGAAACAAGGTCTAGCTGTGTTGCCCAGGCTGGAGTGCAGTTGCTCGATCTCAGCTCACTGCAACCTCTGCCTCCCAGGCTCAAGTGATTCTCCTGCCTCAGCCTCCTGAGTAGCTGGGATTTCAGGCACATGCCACCACGCTCAGCTAATTTTTGTATTTTTAGTAGAGATGCGGTTTCACCATGTTGGCCAGGCTGATCTTGAACTCCTGACCTCAGGTGATCCGCCCACCTTGGCCTCCCAAAGTGCTGGGATTATAGGCATGAACCACCGCACCTGGCCTCAACATATGATTCTATGTGGTGCTCTTGATGTTGCTAGAATATCCAAATGGTATATTACTATTATAACACATTTTGGTAGACAACCGACTACGTACACAACACCTCTCATAAGATTATAGCAGAGTTGAAAAATTCCTGTCGCCTAGTGATGTGGTAATGTCACCGCAATAACGTTGTAGAGCAATGCGTTATCTACCTATTCGTGGGGATGCTGGTGTAAATAAACTCCTACTGCACTGCCAGTCTATAAGAGTGTAGCACATATAGTTGTGTGCAGTACATAATACTTGACAATGATAATAAACAACCATGTGATTGGCTTACATATTTACTATACTATTATCATTATTTTAGAGTATACTTCTACTTGAAAAAAAAAAAAAAAAGCCAGCTGTCAAATAGCCTCAGGATGTATTCCAGAAGAAGATGGTGTTATCGTAGATGACAGTTCCATGCCTGTTATTACCCCTGGACATCTTCCAGTGAGATAAGATGTAGAGGTAGAAGACAGTGATATTGTTAATCCTGACCTTGTGCAAGCCTATGCTAATGTGTGTGTTTTTGTCTTATTTTTTAACAAAAAAAATAGTTTTGAAAAATAGAAAAAAGCTTGTAGAATAAGGATATAAATATTTTTGTATAGCTGTACAATGTGTTCGTGTTTTAAGCTGTGTTATTACAAAGGAGAGTTTAATCATTTTAAAAGTTTGACCGGGCACTGTGGCTTACGCCTGTAATCCCAGCACTTTGGGAGGCCTAGGTGGGTGGATCACAAGGTCAGGAGTTTGAGACCAGCCTGGCCAATATGGTGAAACCCTGTCTCTACTAAAAATACAAAAATTAGCCGGGCTTGGTGGCGGGCGCCTGTAGACCCAGCTACTCAGGAGGCTGAGGCAGGAGAATCACTTGAACCCGGGAGGCGGAGGTTGCAGTGAGCTGAGATTACACCACTGTACTCCAGCCCAGGTGACAGAGGGAGATCCCTCTCAAAAAAAAAAAAGTAAAATAAATAAATAAAAGTTCATACCATTTCCATTGTGCAATGAAAAATAAATAAATGAATAAATAATTTAAATTTTTAGGCCAGGAGAGGTGGCTCATGCCTGTTTATCCCAGCACTTGAAAGGCCAAGGCTGGAGGCCTGCTTGAGTCCAGGAGATTGAGACCAGCCTGAGCAACACTGGGAGACCTCATCTCTACAAAAATTTTTAAAAATTAGCCAGGGATAATGGCATGTTCCCGTAGTCCCAGCTACTCCAGAGACTGAGATGGGAGAATCACTGAGTCCAGGAGGTGGAGGCTGCAGTGAGCCGTGATTATGCCACTGCACTCTAGCCTGGGCAACAGAGCAAGACCCTGTCTCAAAAATAAATAAAAGTTTATAAAATAAAAAACTTACAGTAAGCTAACATTAACTTATTATTAAAGGAAGAAAAATGTTTGAAATAAATTTAGTGTGGTCTATGTGTTTATAATTTAAGGTAGTGTACAATAATGACCTAGGCCTTCACATTCCCTCACTGCTTACCTACCGACTTACCCAGAGCAACTTCCACTTCTGCAAGTTTCATTCATGGTAAGTCCCCTATACAGGTGTACCATTTTTAATCTTTTTTTTTTTTTTTTTTGAGATGGAGTCTCGCTCTGTCGCCCAGGCTGGAGTGCAGTGGCGCGATCTCGGCTCACTGCACACCCCGCCTCCCAGGTTCATGCCATTCTCCTGCCTCAGCCTCCCGAGTAGCTGAGACTACAGGCGCCCACCACCAAGCCTGGCTCACTGCACGCTCCGCCTCCCGGGTTCATGCCATTCTCCTGCCTCAGCCTCCCAAGTAGCTAGGACTACAGGCGCCAGCCACCAAGACTGACTAATTTTTTGTATTTTTAGTAGAGACGGGGTTTCACCATGTTAACCAGGATGGTTTCGATCTCCTGACTTTGCAATCCGCCTGCCTCGGCCTCCCAAAGTGCTGGGATTACAGGCATGAGCCACCGCGCCCAGCCCCCATTTCTAATCTTTTATATCATATTTTGACTGCATGTTTTATTTTTTTCTATGTTTAGATATGCTAACATGCTAACATACACAAATACTAAACACTGTGTTCCAGATGCCTACAGTATTCAGTAAAGTAGCATGCTGTTCAGGTTTGTAGCCTGGGAATAATAGGCTACGCTACATAGCCTAGGTGTATAGAAAGCTATCCCATCTAGGTTTGTGTAAGTACACTCTATGATGTTCATACAATGACAAAATTACCTAACAATGCA